AAGATAATGAAATCATGTGCATTTCTGTGTGTGTAGAAGCACATATATGCACACATTCACGCATGAATATACACACAAATGCCACTAACACACCACACACACGCACACACACACACACACACACACACACACACCACACACACACACACACACACACACGCACACACACACACACACACACACACACCACACACACACACACACACACACACAACACACACACACACACACACACACACACACACACACACACACACACACACACACACACACACACACACACACACACACACACACACAGAAACACACTTTTTATATGCATTTTTTGGCTTCGGAGTGAACTAGAAATTTTCTGCCAAAGTATTTGTAACAATTGGCAAGTAAATGCTACACGTGCACAGCTACATGTGCACTCAACATCAGAACGTTTTTCTATTTGCAAGAGACATGTATCATATATGCTTATATTTCTTTTTTGAGTGTTTGGTTTACATTCTTTATTCACAAGACGCATGTTTATAAATATACATTATTTTGGGGAAAAATTACACCATTTTAAATATTTGTAAGATATGTGTTTAGATGTGTTCTTTTATAAATCACTTGAAAAACAAATGTAACATATAAAACCACGCGTGTGTGTGTGTCTGTCTATCAATCTATTTGTTAGATAGATAGCTAGACAAACAGATAGGTAAATAAATAGATATATATTTAGAGAGAGAGGGGGCAGATAGCTAGACAGAAAAAGACAGATATGCGTTTATTCCTGTCTATATGCGTCCATAAGTATATGTGTCTCTATATATTTATGTGTGTGTGCATGTGTGTGTGTGTGTGTGTGTGTGTGTGTGTGTGTGTGTGTGTGTGTGTGTGTGTGTGTGTGTGTGTGCGTGTGTGTATGTGCGCGCGTGTGTGTGTGTGCTTGCGTGCATATCATGATTCTTGCACGTATAAGCTTATGGAATTTAAACCCCCTTTTCTCTCCCGTATCCCAACGCTATACATTCTTCCCCCACGCCAGGTCTTCTACTCTGTGGTCGTGGCGAGCACAGCGCTGCACCTCGGCATGGTCGCCGGGTGGTCGGGGATTCTGATGAAGCAGAAGGCCGACCCCGAAGCCGAGGTGGTCGTGTCCGAGATGGATGTCGTGTGGCTGGGTGAGTCGGCTTTCCCTGGCGGCTTTGGGGTGTGTTTTTGGTGTGTGTGTGTTTTGGGTGTGTGTGTGTGTGTTTGTGTGTGTGTGTGTGTGTGTTTGTGTGTGTGTGTGGTGTGTGTGTGTTTTGTGGTGTGTGTGTGTGTGTTGTGTGTGTGTGTTGTGTGTTTGTGGTGTGTGTTGTGTGTGTTTGTGTGTGTGTGGTTTTTTGTGTGTGTGTGTGTTTTGTGTGTGTGTTTTGTGTGTTTTTGTGTGTGTTTGTGTGTGTATGTGTGCGTGTGTGTAAGGGATAATGCCTTTCCCAAGCACCAAATCAGACACTGACGCTGGCAACCATTTCCTCGAACCAAATGATCCTTCGAGACGAAACTGTTTTACTTCGACCAGCTGCAAACATAAGCGCGCGCGTCCATATTGATTCATGTTTATCTATCTGTTTATCTATCTATCAGTCTATCTAATTATCTATCTGTCTATGCACACTCACACACACACACCGCACACGCACACACACACGCACGCACGCACGCACGCACGCACGCACACACACACACACACACACACACACACACACACACACACACACACACACACACATCCTTTTATCCTTTCTCCTTCCGCGCTTCTCTTTTCCTTCTTTTCACCTTCCTTTATCGCTTTTCCTCTTTCTCCCTCCTCTGCCCCCATTCCCATATCCCCCCCACCTGCCTCCCCCTCTTCCCTCTTTTCCTCTCCTTCTCTCTACTCCTCTCCCCTGCCCTTTCTCTTCTCCCTTCTCCTCTTCCCCTCTCCATCATCTCCCTCCCAGTTCTTCTTTAGCGGTTCTTCCCTTCCTCCTTTCCCTTTTCTAATCCTCCTTCCTCTTTCCCTCTCTCCCAATTCTTCCTTTTTCCCTGCTCTTTCCCTCCCCCTCCTCCCCCCCCCCCCATTTTTCCCTTTTTCCTTCCCTTACTCCTGTCTCTTTCTCGCCCCCCCCCCCTTTTCCCTCTCCCACTCCCTCTTTCTCCTATCACTTCACGGTCAAGGGTGAAGGTCACGTGGCACTATTCTGGCTAAATCCGGCTCAGCGTCGGTTGCCACGTGAGTGCCAAGTGCCATTCTTACATAGCAACTGTTCTGGCGAGATTTGGCCCCAAAGGTCATGTACGTTTTATTTTATTTTATTTTATTTTATTTTTTTTAGTTTTTTAATAATAATAATTTAATCTTTATTTATTTATTATTATTACTTTTTCTCTTTTGCCTGATGCCACTTGAACTTACGTCTTTGACTAAGCTTGTATCATTCTATTAAGATTATTTAGAGATTGATGTGGGAATGTATAATATTTGGGGAGGAGTGAAAATATGTTTTTTCTTATTATTATTTTTCGTGTTTTTTCTCTATTTCTCTGTCCCATTTTTTCTCTTTTTTCCCCTTTTTTCAAATTTTCTTTTTTTTTCTTTTCTCCTTTTTTCTTCTTCTTCTACTTGGTGCAAGGTTGTGTGTTTCTGTTTTGGGGTGTTGCTTATGCAGAATTCTTGGCCTGGTGATGATGATGATGATTGATTGATGATGATTGACGATGATAATGATGATTATGATGATGGTGATAATAATGATGATGATTGATGATGATGATGATTGATGACGATGACGATGATAATGGTAATGATAGTAATGATGATAATGATAATAATCAGCGGGACATTTTCAGGAGCAATGATTCCTAGCCTACTGAGTGGCCTATTCGAACAATTCTAAAGTCCTGACAAGCACCTATCTCGATGCGTCATACAGCATGCGCACAGTACACAGCCTGGCCGGAAAGAGTCTAGAACGCACTGCTGAAGTGAGAGAGAGCAAAAGCGGCGGCAGTTTCATTATCCTCAATGATCAAATTGCCGCCTGCGAAGCGAGTGAAATGCCAGTCGGAGCTCTTCTGGGAACCGGCATTCTCAAGCCCCCCACCCCCCTCCCTCCCTCCCTTCACCCCTGCAGTGTCGTCGCTGGGCCTCGTGTGGATGTTCTCGAGCTTCGTCTCGGGCCCCCTGATGGAGCACCTGGGTCTCCGGCGCCTCCTGCTGCTATCGCTCCTGCCGTCCGCTCTGTGCTGGCTCCTGCTGGCCTTCCCGCTGGCCACGTGGGTCGTGTACGTGGGCCGCGTGGGCACCTGCGCCACCGCTGGGATCATCAACACCATCTTGCAGCCTCTCCTGGCCGAGCTGTGCCAACCTCGCTACCGCGGCTTCGCCCTCACCCTGCCGGAGATCATGGTGTCCGTCGGCCTCCTCTTCACCTACGCCCTCCCGAGGTTCCTCTCCTGGCAGGCGTCCGCGGCCCTCCTCGCCGCGCCCTTCCTGCCCATGTTCCTCCTGATGCTCCTCGTGCCGGAGGTGGGTTCAGCGCCGCCACCGGGTATTTGTGATTCTACTTGCTCACTCTTTTTTCTTTCTGTAGTACGTAGATTAATCAGGATAAAAAATTAAGAACACCTCCATTTTCATATCTTATATGCACGACATACATGCTGTCATACATATTTACAATTATGCTTATCAGCCTGGCCCCTCTCTTGACAGTCGCCGTACTGGCTGCTGAAGCGGGACAAGAGAGACGAGGCAGAGAAGGTTCTCCTACGCCTCGACCCTTCCTGTGACGTCGTTGAGGAAATAATTGCCATCAAATCCTCGTGCGCCGACGACCCCACCTTCTTCGAACAGGTAGGCCTTCGTTTCTCGTCTCTTACGATTAGCGCGCGGTCAAAACTAACACCCAATGAAATGAAATCCAAAACGTAAGGTACCCTAGTCCATCTCCTTGGGGGAATCCCTCGAAGCATGGTTTAACTTTGCAGACATTGTACCACAACGTATACTGGTATGTTTATGATCACAGAACCATAACCCAGATGACCACGTGCAGCTTGAAGGTGTACATCTGTAGAGAGCCGCCCTCTCCCGCAGGTTCAGCAGCTGAAGAAGGGCCGCAACGCCCGTCCTGTACTCCTAGTTTTGTCCCATTTCCTCCTGCGCGACCTCGGCGGCCCCAGCGTCGTCTTCATGTACTCGGCCTATATGTTCGCGATGGCCGGCGTGCAGCTGGACGCCTTCACGTGCTCCATCCTGGTCGGCGCCGTGCGTCTGCTGGCAACCATAGCGTCGGCCCTCGTGTCGGACCGCGTCGGCCGCCGCCCCATGCTCCTCTGCACGGCCGTGCTCTGCGCGGCGGCTCAGGCAGTGGCCGGGGGCGCGCTCCTGCTGGGGAGGGACCCGACGCTGGGCGAAGGCGCGCTGCCTCTGATCTCACTGGTTGCCGTGTTACTGTACACGGCGTTCTTCGGCGTGGGTCTGGGGCCCATCCCGTGGGTGCTGGTCGGAGAGCTCCTGCCGACGGCCGTGCGCTCCCTCGGCGCCGCCATCGTCAGCTCCGTGTTCGCCCTGACGGTGTTCGTGATCAACTTCATCTTCCCGAGCCTCATCGCCCTCCTGTCCCTCGGCGGAACCTTCCTCCTGTTCGCCGCCGTCAACGCCTCGCTCGCCCTCGTCGTCCTCTTCTTCCTGCCGGAGACGAGCGGCCTCACCCTCAAGGAGGTGGAGCTGGCCTTCGCCTCCAAGCACCGCCTCGCCCGTGAGGGGGAGAAGGCGGGCGTGTGAATGCGTTAAGGATCTATCGCGTGTTCAATAAGTAATCAGAGTACAAATGACGTTTTGTTGGCAGCGAAACGCATCGTCTGTTCAGATCCGATGGAAGTTTTATTTGTAAAACCTGCTGATGTTCACTGTTGGAAACGTATTATATATTCCGGTCATTTATATTTTTACGCTTCGTGAAAAACACACACACATATATATATAAATATATATATATATATATATATATATATATAATATATATATATATATATATATATATATATATATATATATATATATATATATATATATTATAATATATATATATATATATATATATATATATATATGTGTGTGTGTGTGTGTGTGTGTGTGTGTGTGTGTGTGTATTATATATCTATACATCATATATCTATATCTGTATCTACCAGTATCTCTCAATCCATCTATCTGTCTATCTATCCATCTCACTCTCTCTCTCTCTCGCTATATCTATCTATCTATATGTGCGTGTGTGTGTGTGTGTAAGTTTTTTTTTTTTATAGTATATGAATGTGGATATCAGGGAAAGCGTGACCGGAGGCGCATCCGCTTGTGCCTTTTGCCTTAACCGGAAAACCGTTACGAGGGAGAACAAGAAAGGTTAACGTGTCCGATAACTTAATAAAAGACAACCTGGGTGTTTTACGCGTTTTATCGTCCTGTGTCTGACATCCTTAACCGATGATGAAAAGAGTAAATGTAATTGATAAGAAAAATTATAAATAATGTTAAGTGGGATAGGTATAAGCAATAATGATAAGAATATATGTAATTGTTATCATCATGCTTATCATTGGTCGACCCCTAAATGATGTTTAGATTTTAGATTGATACATAAAATTCAAAATGAAAATTAGCATCATAATATATAATATATATATATATTATATATATATATATATTATATATATATATATATATATATATATATATATATATTATATATATATATATGTATATATATATATATATATATATATATATATATATATATATATATATATATATATATATATATATATATATATATATATATATATATATATAAAATCTACATCGGTCACGAAAGTTCTCAAAACAAGCCCTGGTTATTTTGGCTGTATTAGCGTTCCACTTAAATTGTTTAGAAAGGTGTTTCCGCAAGTCAACGGTGTGGTCCATATAACGTTGCGCCTTCAGCACACACACAACACACACACACACACACACACACACACACACACACACACACACACACACACACACACACACACACACACACACACACACACACACACACACACACACACAAATGTATGCATATATATTTTCATAACATTTGGTGCCAGTACACTAAGACATTTAAAGATTACTACGCTTCGAAGTTTATCAGAATAAAATTCAATTCTAACCACTTGCAATGTAACGAAAAAATTTGGCTATATTAGTCATGAAAGACTGAATCAATATATCAGATAAATGAAACAATTTACAAAAAACATAAATTACCTTTATTTAAAAATATTATATTCCAAATCTTCATCACAAAATGTTGCAAACCAAATCATCTTTATTTCAAAATACTGCATTCGAAAGAGGGAGAGAGTGACAGAGAGAGGGCGAGAGCCAAAGACAGAGATAAAGAGAGAGAGAGAGAGAGAGCAAAGACAGAGAGAGTGAGACAGAGAGAAGAGAAGAGGGACAGAGGACAGAGGCAGAGAGAGAAAGGGGCACACAGAGAGAAAAAGAGGGACAGAGACAGAAAGAAAAGACAGAGACAGAGAGAAAGAGGGGAGAGAAAAAGAGAGAAAGAGGGACAGAGACAGAGAGAGAAAGAGGGACAGAAACAGAGAGAAAGAGGGACAGAGGCAGAGAGAGAAAGAGAAAGAGGGACAGAGGCAGAGAGAAAGAGAAAGAGGACAGACAAAGAGAGAGATTAAGAGAGAAAGTGAGATAGAAAAAAAGAAAGAAAGAAAGGGAAAGAGAGAGAAAAAAATACCCAAACACAATCACTGAAACTTAATAAGATAGGACAAATTAAATGAAAAAGTACATACATTTCATAAATGATCTAACTTTTGACAAAATACGGTAAATTTGTATATCACAGAGACATCAACCCTTATATGTTAGACACCAAATTTTGTCTTCCAGTTACCATACACTACACAAGGTACTTTAGAGAGAAAAGCCCACATTATGAAAGGGAAAAAGTGAGTGATGCCATGATGTCATTGAAAAGATGAAAATGGAAAACCATTAGCAAATTTGGACAGAAGGATGTGGACAGAAGGGGATGAAGAAGAGAAGTAAAAAAGGTGGAGAAGAAAAGACCATGCAGAATTAGTTGAGGCAAGGGCTAAAGTACAAAGTCTGGGTGATCCCCTACATTGAGCCCAAGTCTTCATCTCCTAAGCCCCGCCATGACAAAAACAGTGATGGGATTAGGGGGGTTGGAGAATATACATAAAATATGGATATGAAGTCATTAATAATCCCACTCTCTCTCTCTCTAAAATATACATACAACACGTACTTTATGAGTCTACTTTTGCTTGGTTCTTACTTCTTATAAACAAAGCACTCCAACAAAACTATAAGTCCAGATATTTCACCACAGCCAGGAGATTTGTGAAATAATGTTTATTACCCCAATGTTGACAGGGAAATAGTGCGTTCCCTTTGGCAATGCTTGGTTAAATGTTTCTGCACATAGATGGCTCTGCCAATCTTAGACACAAAGGAGTCAATTAGTAGATCTTGTAACCTCACTTTTCCTTGAAAATGTGGGAAAACCTTTTTTTTTTACAAATGCTATCAATATTGACACTATTATTTTTGTTATACACATTATAATTACTATATTGTTACCAACATTACTAACAGCAGTATTATATATTAGAAAAATATAAAAAATCAAGGAAAATGGTAAACAGGTGAGACAGGTAGTTCGCGTAGTTGGCTCATTGGTGACAGTACTTGTGGAGCGATCTATATGTAAAACAATTACTAAATTCAATACAATGCCATGCCCGGCAGCTTAGTGTTTATGAAAATAAAATATAGTGAGGAACAAAATAGAGAAGATAAATACAAATATGTATTTATTCTTTTTTTTGTTTGTTTATTTATATGCAAACATAGAATACAAAAAGAACTATGTATCCGTTTTTAACCATTAACCATTATTTACTTAATCACCATTACTACAGTCAGAATATGGAAACCATCACAGATTATTACAGTATTTTTACTATGTATAAATCAGTATTGTTCAAATGAAATATGCTCATCACTGAAACTTAATAAGATAGGACAAATTAAATGAAAAAGTACATACATTTCATAAATGATCTAACTTTTGACAAAATACGGTAAATTTGTATATCACAGATATCAACCCTTGATGTTAGACACCAAATTTTGTCTTCCAGTTACCATATACTACACAGTGTACTTTAGAGAGAAAGGCCCACATTATGAAAGGGAAAAAGTGTGATGCCATGATGTCATTGAAAAAATGAAAATGGAATATCATTAGGAAATTTATTCACTAGTATTTTTCCTACAAACTAGGGCCTGCACATTTTGAAGAGGTCATGCCGGTGGTCCTTCTTGGGACCACCTCCAGCACGGTCCCCTCCCAAACCCTCCTCATACATGTCAGATCCTGTGGCGGCAAGGATCTGCTCAAGCAATGCCACTTTTTCCTCTCTGCTGTCGTAATGCAACTGTGCCTCATTAAATCCTACCAGCTGTGCAGGAGTGACCACCATATAAGCATAATCCTGATTGACAAGGAAACTCTTCCTCTTGCGTGAGTATCCCATCTCCCTTGTGTCTTGAGAAAGCAATGCATAGAAGAAGGCATTGCAACCCTCAGCTCTGGAACCCTTTTGAGCTCTCAAGATACGGCCTATCCTCTGTGCCTCCTGTCGCCTGGATCCTCCCTGCGACGAAATCTCAATCACGATATTTGCTTCAGGAAAGCCAAAGGAAGTATCTGCCACTCGACTGATGAATATAGTGTTGACTTTGGGATTTGATGTGAAATCCTGAATAATGGCCATACGTTCCTTCTGGTCTGTCTTACCACAGATGTAAGGTTTTCCCAAAGTTTTAGCATAATGAATCAGTGCAAATACCTCATCAATAAACACTATAATCTTGTCATTTCGGTTCTCATGGAATTTGATAAGAAATTCACAAGTTCTAAATTTGTTAGGGTTCATTGCACAAAGAAGCCTGATTCTATGGTCAGATACCTTTCCTGTTAAATACTCTCTATAAAACTCTGGTGTCATGGGGCAACACACGTCTGCACACTGGACCCTTGCAATGAATCCTTCCTTCTGCAACTCAAGCCTATTGGCTTCATACAACTTTGGCCCAATAAGGAAGTTCAGGTCAGCAATTATGTCATCTCGGACCAAAGGGGCAGTTAGGCCAAGCTTACAGTGGGATTGGACTATGGTAAGGATTCTTCTGAACATTTTTGCAGGAATAGTATGTACTTCATCTAAAACCATAATACCCCATTCCTGTTCCTTCAGCCAATTCATTGTTTGTTCTGCTTCATAGGCTCGTTTCTGGTTGTGGGATATCATAGCATAAGTGGTAATCAGAATACCTGCATTGAAAGGTTTGTCTTTGGCATCAGAGGTGAATCTACAAATCATATCATCAGTTGCAGTTGACCACATTTTGAACTGCTGTTTCCACTGTTCAACAGACACTCCTGAGTTACAAAGTACTAAAGCCTTTTTATTCACTGTGCAACATGCTGTAACACCTACTAAACTTATACCTGCACCATAAGGGAGCACAATGATACCTGATCTTGCTCTTCCATTACCAAACATTTTTCTCAGACTCTTTTCTTGATATGGCCTTAAGACAGCTGAAGGTTTGAGATCAATTTTAATATCTTCATTGACAGTATCATTCTTAAAGTCATACTCTGCCAAAAGTAGGTAATCAAGCCCAATGCAAGTTTTCTGTAGGGTCTCAATTTTATCTTGGTTGACTTCAAATGACAAAGTTTTTAGATTTTTATCCTCTTCTTCTTCATCTGCCTTCTCAAATTTATCATAAAAGTCAGTGATATCCTCAGGGACTGCTTCCCCTTCCTTCACTTCTCCATTAGTTCCTTCTTCTGGGTTACTGTTGGGCTTGGATATATCTGTCCCACCAGCCATTTGTGCTTGATGACTTGTGAACATAATGGCCTGTGACTTTTGACGTTCTGAACTTGTGACTCCTTCATTTGGCCTCAGCATACAATCATAAATGACTGGATGTTTAATGAGTTTCTGGATAACATCAGGGAAATCACTCTCCACATAATATCTATTCTTTTTCAAAACAAGTTTAACTTTACCATAGGAGAGAGTACAACTCTGAATAAACTCACAAATGCCTGGAGGAAGTGTGGTTTTGCAAAGTCTTTTCAGGTATTCTATGATGTCGTGAGTTTGAAGACCAACAGTGGCAGCTGCATACAAAGAGTATGCTGTCAATTTGTATTCATGAATGTGCTCTGGTCTGCATACAGGCTCTGAGATGGTATTCAGGAAGTCCTTAGTATATTTGTACAAAGGTGAGAAAGATTCCAAGAAGATGTGGCCATTGCTGGCTACCCAAAGAGGTCGAGTCTCGTGGTCATCTCGAAGCTCTACCTCCTTGCGGTAATCAAAGGCACCATACTGGTCCTTTGGCGTGGTTTGTTCCCGTTCCTGTCAAGAAAATATGTCCTGATTATTCAAAAGTTGCCTCTTTCATTATCACTTTTCACAATTATATGATTTCATAACCATGCATTCTTATTCTGCCAATATCAATATCACCTTAATTCAAAAATATCTAAAAAGTGATATACAGAAATACCAGCAGTAACAGCAATACCTCAACATTCTGCCTGGAAGCTCTTGGGACGCCCTCCAATGATCTGAAAACATATATATATATATATATATAATATATATATATATATATATATATATATATATATATATTAGATATGGAATGCTAAAGATCCTTGTTGCTATAACATCACATTATGTGGCCAACTTATGGAACTAATTTGCATATCAATATCAACATTTTTATATCGAAAGACAGCTAATACTCAATTACCATATGACCAATAAAAGTTCAATTTATTAATAACGAGCACCTTATACAATGGAATACAAGATATACAAATTTTTAAAAACTAGAAATAGAAAATGAAGCCTATGTAACTAATGTTAAAGCAAGGGCCCTTTACGTGAGGCCTATTTGACGAAGAAGAAAACAGGCAGTAGGCCTATGGGTATCATGTATTCCGTGTCGCTGTAAGGCCCAAAGTTCCATCACACTTACACACAAGAATGGTTAAAAAATGAAAATAAATAATACAGTCAATAATCTATTTTTAAAAAATGGAATTTTTGAAGCTAAGACCGCATCCTAACAATCCTCCATCACAAATATTCTGGCAAGATAGAACTTGGATTGACTTATTGTTAAGTAAATGTGGGCATTCTTTAAATTTTTGTGGCTTATTTCTTTAATCCTAAAATGCAATTCTATGTTTTAAGACAAAAACATTTTTGCCAAACTGGTTCGTGAATCGACTTGTCTCATAAAATAGATCTATGAATAAATATATAGTCTTTTCAATTTCAGTTCTTACAAATAGAATCAATAAAATGCTAAAAATTGCACGCATTACTAGTCATAATAAAAATAATGATGATGACGATTCTGATGTGAATAATAATAATAATAATAACAATAACAACAACGGTAATTATAACTGACGATAACGACAACGATGACGATGTGAATAATAAAAACAACAACAATAATGATAACGAAAACGATAACAATGATGATAGCAATAATGATAATGATGATAACGATTATGATAATAACTATAATAAATACAATAACAATAAAAATAATAAGAATAACTTTAATAATTATAATAAGAGTGATGATGATAATGATATTAATGATGACAATGAGGATGAGGATAAAGATGATAATAATTAAAATCATAATCATAATCCTCATTAATGTTAATAATAATGATGATAACGACAATGATAAAAAAAAAATTTCAAATAATAAAAAATGGTGAATGGTTTGATGTTTAATGATTAAAACAATTAAATGTAATAGTAACCGATGGTCATATAGCACAGCACGACAGTAAAGTATTATGACAAAAAGGGTAAAAAAGTCAACTATTACGATAAAATAATAGATGCCAAAGGTTGTAGAGCGCTATAGAATAGTATGGTAGTGAAAAGGGTAAAGAGGGGGAGCAAGTCAAGTAAAGCAGAGAAAGGGATATAAGGTGAAGGACGATTGGACGAAATGACGAGTATCTGTGACTGAGGAAGGGAGAGAAACATTGGTTCGGGAAAACTGGCAAAAGAGCCACTGTGAAGCAATCAACGGGTAATACTGAAGACATAGCTATTGGAAAATAGCTGATGGGGGGGGGGGAGGGAGGAGACACCCCGGGAAACACTGTCTTCATCTCGGTATGCACAGCCAGACGGAGCTGATCCTCACGAGCACCGAGTGTACTTTGGCTGAGAGCGGGGCTTTCCACAATGTTTTCCTGTATTTGTGGCGTTACTGTTCATGTCTGCAAATCATTTCTTGTATAAAAGACTAACTTTTTGTCCTTTACAAGAATATCATATTCAGTATGCCCAGTGCATCCAACCGTAAAGATTAAACTATCTATTCAGCAAGGGAAAAATAAGTCTAGATTCACCCTAATACCAGCAGGCTTATATATGACATTTGTTGCACCACTTTTGATATTATTTTTATTTTCTATGTGTCTCAGAGCCTGAAATGACTCAGTATTAAAAAAATTGCCTTCCGATATCCTTTCCTACCTTTTGTAAACAAAACAATGATGCCGTTTCATTTTTGTACATTCATTGCAATAACTGGGTTTCGTGCGTATATAAAGCCAGCATGACGTTACACGAAAGAGAAATTGTTTTTGCTTTAGAAGATATGACAAAGCAGTAATACTGTAATAATATCGAATAATTAGTGAATAATTACACCAAATCGATTAGGCTGCCCATATTAACGGCAATAGGGGCCTGATGAATTTTACAAATGACGTATGCTAGTGCTTGAGTTTCGGTACATCTCAAGCGTGTTACTGTACATCGAAAACGTGCGTGTCGAATATGGACACCAGATTGCAAGCGGTGTAGGCCTCTCAACTATAATTTCTTTTCGGATTTTACTTTAAATATATATATATATATATATATATATATATATATATATATATATATATATATAATATATATATATATATACTACATATATATATATATATATATAATATATATATATACATATATAATATATACAATATATACATACCATACATCTACGAAGTTTTGGGATTACGAGAAATGTATTAACTTTTGACGTTTATCAATAACCATCACCGCGGACCAGAATATTTATTATTTTTATTATTTGGAAGTAACAAAATCTAAATTAATTACATACACTAATATTACAGCAACAGAATGATCAGGAAAGTGTTTGAGGATACAGAGCAATGACGGCAACTCGTGTCCGAAGTGCTCATCACCCAATAGATGGCACTGGAATCCACCATAGCAACACCTGATATGCAAACCGTTCATTAAAGGATTATACGTATGTATCATTTAAATATATTCATTCATGAGGAGAGAGTGTAGTAGTTTTGTAAGTAGCATGCGCGCTCAAAATAACCGTCACGGCATCACAAAAATTAGATATGCCGAATTTTTATTTTAAAAGAGCTGCCTCCAAATAACCGTCACGGTATCAAGGAATAGCCGCTCAGACGCACATACATTTCACCTTACATATTATGGGAAGTATAAATATTTAAGTAATTTTCTATATTACCTTCGCCTCACCGATATCGACGATTTTGGTATCGTTGGATTCCTCTCACTCTGTACAATCTAAATATGTAGGTTTTATTGCGCGGAATATTTAGCTCTTTCCTTTTTTACGTTAATCATCACTAAGGTTAGTAAACACGTAACTACTGTCAATGGCGCAACTTCGTGTTTCATCTTTTTTTTGTTACTACTTTCGTAAACGCAGTAAGTGAATAAAATCCTGTTATTTGAACAACCATTAACGATATTTTGTTGATATTTAACAGGATCATCAGGAAACTTAGGAAAACGTATTTCCATATTTAAAAGCTTTCGTTCAATCATGATTTAAAAAGGATTTAATGCATTTAACTGCACAACTGTAGACCGTTATTGTTTTTAGTTTAGTTTAGTCCTTTATTTACCAGCCTGGCTAACTGCACGGGCGTGGGCAAGCTGTGGTACATTTGATGCATGGTCAAATTTATTAATATTGTGGAAATCTAGATCATTACATTATTACGATCTATTATAATTCAATGTGTAAGTGAAACACAGCTCCCGTTCCCGTAGAGTTTCAACGAACATTATTATTATTATTTTTTTTTTTTGTGGTTTTGTTCTGTTTCGCTGTGTAAATCCTGCAAAGTCTTCCAAAAATACAGGGCGAAATGTAGGCTTACGCGCTTAAACAACTTTGACGTCGGGAAGTACAAGCAGTCAAGCAGTCAGCTGAGAACACCGCCATAAAAAAAGATAAGCAACGAAGGAATATTCCATAAAAAAAAGAGAGAAAAAAAAGATTTAGAAAGTCTTTGGAGGCTGGTTGAGTCTGGAAATTTACCCAAATCGCACTTAATACTAGAGAGGGCAGACATGCAAGGCTCTACGTACCATTTACATGTACATATAAACTACAGTGACATTTCATAATAGAAATAGGTCGGCAATGTAAAATAGCAAGTTCTGTGAACTGAAAATTTGTTCATCTACAAGATATAAATAAAATAGTTACTTTTCCAAAAAAAAAAAAATAATAATAATAATAAAGTTCGAATTTTCAGCTATCCTACTTCTACGGAATACCACTATTTGATAAATATACCTCTTCATTCTTTTAAGCCCTTGTCACTGAAGATTTCTGAGCGAGAATAAGCGTCGCCTTTTTCCTCTTCCAGTTTGCGGCGCCACGTGACCAGTAACAGGCAGGGACCCTTTATATAAGCAGGCATGTCGTATAAAATTTAAGAGTTATTGCACCTCATATTATCAATGCTTGTGTGACTGGAAAAGAATATTTGCCGTATACTTTGTAGTAGTTTCCGATATCTTCAAGTAAAATTGTTTATAGATGGTTTAAAAAATATTTTTGTTGATTAATATTTACACAAGGTGATTGTCATATCATTATCCTTCGTTTTATTATTATTATTATTATAATGATTATTATTATTGTTATCATAATCATTATTCATTTATATATCATTAAAATCATCCATATGAAAAACAAAAGACATGGTAATATCTTGGTATTTGTGGAGCTTTATCCAAAGGATCACTTGCTGCCTGTCAAAATGCACACAAATTCGAATGTATTACCCCCCCCCACACACACACATACACACACGCTCTGCCATTTTGGGGGAACCTATGCTTGTTAACTATACTTTTGAGAAAAAAACAGGTTACTGAAAAATATTCGTAAACAGTCTCTTGAGAGTTTAATAGTAAATGTAAGACACGTGAAGGAATTCAAACGATTATTTGTCCCCATTTAACCTTGGATTCCAATTGTATTACGTTTTATTGACTCCTTTCTGCATAATCCTATACCGTTTTCACATGCGTTTCACTACAGGCTATTTTCATATACTCCTTAAATGGCCAAATGAAGAATTACAAAATAGAATATAAATAGTTAGCATTTTACTCATTCGTGTTGACGAAATTCAGCATCAAATAATTACATGAAATTGTAAATAAGGACGCTACAGATAATGCCTATTGTATGGACTGCTCTGGACCATGACAGTTTGAATTGTGTGACAATATTTTAGCGGGGTGTTCATGAATTCACCAAGGGAACTGCATTTATAAATTTTATTTCCGTAACCAATTTCCGCCTTCATTTCATTACAGTCGAATGCAATATGATAGTTAAAAAAAAAAAAAAAAAAAAAAAAAAAAAAAAAAAGTATATACAAAGATTTTATCGTGTAAAGGAAAATAAAAATTTTCGTTCATATTGGAATTGTTCTGGAAGCCAGTAGTAGGCAACCCTGCGAATTTTTTATCTTTAGCAAGGCCTAAAATTAAATCAGTTTCCCTTCGGCATTTATGGAAAACGGAAAAGCAGAGTAAACAGGTCATTCCATTGCCAGATCGGTTTTTTCCGCGAAAGGCTCCTTTTAAAGCCGTTTAGTCCTCTGAGTGGAATATTATTAGGAGTTGACTCTCCCATTTTTTGATGATGAGTTCAATTTTGTGTTATGATTAAAAATGCAATTAACTTCATTAGTATTTCCAAGGGAGATTTAAGTTAATGTGTCCTCCCCATTCTAACCATTTTTTTTTTATTTTATTTTCCAGAATGTACGAACGGTGTTTCTTTCATTTCTCCTGCGTAGAAGAATAAGAAATGATTATGAGGAAGGGGGTTATAACTAGCATGATTTTTTCCTTGAGTTGTGACTGTCAAGTTATGTTCCTTTATTTCCCTAATATATATACGTGTGTGTGTGTGTGTGTGTGTGTGTGTGTGTGTGTGTGTGTGTGTGTGTGTGTGTGTGTGTGTGTGTGTGTGTGTGTGTAGTAACCAGTTTCTCTCCCCTATACCATATTACTAGGAAATATTGTGCAATTAATAAGCTTGGACCTGAGTAATTCCTGGTTGAATATTCCCAATTGTTTACGGCTACCATGATTAATAAGTGTTTTTTTTTCTTTTCTTTTCTTTTTTTTATCTGTGGAGTAATGAAACGAAGTATAATTGGATTGATTTCTTTAATAGAATATAACTTAATACATGTCGTTCCCAAGTAGTTCCCAGCGATACAGATCAATTGAACACTTTAGGTCCGGTTAACAGACATATTTCTGCTTCGTAAACTGTCTAATCCACGTTCTAAAAGGTCCTACAAGTAGTTAAGACTAATTATTTTAAAAAACTGACATTTTACTTTGATTTTGAGAGCCAGTAACCGTATAGCGAATAATCGAGGGTGAAAGAGGGAAGTTGCTGGAATAGTTCAGAGTGAACAGAAGGCAAACAATTATATCGTGGCAGATGCAAGGAACGAGACAATGGGGGAACGAAAACCAAGTAAAGGGTTGTTTAGCTTAATAGGCAAAAACGGTATTAAAGGCCAACCATCAGTGTCGTTGCGTAAACAGTCGTAGATCATTTTCACGCTTTGTTTAGGTTTCCCTTTGAGAAAAAGAGAAGGAAAGTGTGAGTCTATGAATCGTTATGCTAGTGATTTTGGAATGCGAGCGAAAGCGGGAGATCTATACGGGTCTGCATTCTATCCAAGTGTGACTACGTGATTTGTATAGAACCCCAAGGCTTTCAGCTGTATTCTTAGACGAAATGTGGGATCTGCACGTCCCACACCACATTGGAGTGGTATTCTTAAAGGTCTGACGCGGATGTGATGTGGGGCTACATCACGCTCCAATCCCACAATTAGTTGGAACAATTGGGTAGCCCGTGAGCCCTCCCCACAATCATCTCTAAGTTAAAAAGAAACGTCGTGATTATGATTATGTGTTAAATATAGCTTATATGGCAACTGTATCTTTTAATGTGATGGCAAACCTCTGTAAATGCAAAAAAACGAAAAAAAAACGAGTGAGTTATAATTTTCCGCCTCTCAACATTAAAGGTTTTTCAATTAGTAACTCTACTCACGGAGTACTGAAATACACGCAGTACTTCTCATCTTATTTTACATCTTCAGGTATGTTTAGGTTACATGTGTTTTAACCTAAATGAGCATATTTATTAATAATATTTCTTTTATAAGAAACCCATGGCGTAAATTCACTGATATGTGTATATAGTAATAGCCACCTAGCTAGCATGAAGTAAGATAAGATTTACTGAGGACACCCCAGGCATTAGATAAAGTGCAGGACATGGCAAGTCGGTGGGCTAATAGAAGCACAGGTTTAGATGCATTGAGAGCACCTTCCGAGAAAGAATTGCCAAGAGAATGGCCAGCACCAGGTCCCAGGGTTAACAATTCCATCCTACAACACACTTGAATACCAAAATATTGTGTGCCCCAAGATTAGTGTGTTTTGATGTGGGATTTATTAAGAATATGGCCGTTTGTCCCACATGATGCCATGCGCGAAACGGACGAATTTGAGTAGCTTAGCGACGCGACCTTCCTTATATAGGCCTTGCTTCTTGCCGGGGACAGAGGAGTTCCACGACGGTTAATTGAGGAAATGCTATTTAAATCATGGAAAAGAATATAGTGTGGTAGTTGAAAAGTCTTCATTATTTATTCAAAAAATTTCTGTCACGTCAACATCTAAGGTCATTAGCGGCGTATTCAAAATAAAGCAATAGAATGAAGCTTGGGGCCAAACCCTCGGGTAAGTTTTTGGTCCCAGAATGGTTAATGGCCAAAACAAATGAGTGCCAGACATCAAAGGTCATACAGCACAATGATAAAGTATTGTGGCGAAGATGGAGAGAAATAAAAGAAGCGGGGAAGAAGAAAAGTACATGCAAAAATAAATGAGGCGAGGGCTGAGGTCCAAGAGAAGGGTGATCTCACACACTGGGCCTCAGTTTGTGCCCCCCCCCCCCCCCTTCTCTCCCCATGACAACAACGAACAAGGGATTAGTAGATGGAAAGTGTTACGACAGTGAATTATGGTTGACAACTGGAATGTGGGGGTACAATTAAATGAGTGATTAGAGGGTCATGGGGAAGAGAGTGAGGCTATAAGGGACATGTCACTTACCCTAAGCCTCATACAAGGCCTAGCAGAGGGCCCTATGCGAACTTTCACTTTATGGTAAGACGTGGCCAGGCCGCGCAATACACCAAGATGATTCATATGACAGTCGAGGAACCACGGCACTAGCCTTCCAATATACTTCTCTGCAGTATTGAACGAGGTGTAAATCTGTGAAGGAAGGGTTGGTTGAGTGAATCGGGTGTGGATCTGCTTTCATCTGTAATAGAACACTGTATAGTATTGTAAGAAAATATACACAAAAGTTTTATCGTGTAAAGGAAAGGGAAACGCCTATGGTTTCGTTCGTACCATTGATTCTATGTTTAACTTGTATTTATTTGTACTGTAACATCACTATGTACATAATAAGAATAACCATTGTAACAAATGGAATAAAGTATTTTGAATTTGAATTTTGAATTTGAAATGATCTGGAAGCATAGAGTAGACACTTCGCGCTCTTTCCTTTCGGCCTCCATGGAGAAATGGTGAAATCGCTGGCGGGCATCCTGAATCCTTGGAAATTTGAAACTTCTTCGGAAAAATCCAGTTATGAAAAGGGAGAGCGGAGTTAACAAGATTCGCCAGCGCCCAGATAGTGTTTTTTTCGTCGAGAGGTTTGAGGGCACCGTGAAGCGTTGGAAGGACACCATGACGGTTGCTTCGAGCTTGGATGTTTTATGTGTAAATTTGATTCCCCTTATTTGTTTGCATGATGTGTTCAGTTTTGTATGATGAGTAAAAATGCAGTTAACTTTTTTATTGTTTCCATTGTACTGGTGGAAGAGGAGTGAGGCTCTGAGAACCATCCTCGTTCTGTTTTCCACAATATAAGAAGTGTTTTCTTACTTTTATTTCCTTGTATAATATAATAGGATATGACTATTTGCATATATATGTGTGTGTGTGTGTGTGTGTGTGTGTGTGTGTGTGTGTGTGTGTGTGTGTGTGTGTGTGTGTGTGTGTGTGTACATACATTATATATATATATATATATATATATATTATATATATATATATATATATATTTGTAGTAACTAGTTTTATCCCTATACCATGTCACTGATGTCACTGGGAAATATCCGTGCATGGACCGAAGACTGCCAGAGTTTGTTCTGGACAGACTAATGTCACACACCTGATGTCAGAACTGTATAACATTCTCCCACTATACGAGACGGGTTCATGTATGTATGTTAAAATAGATTATCTACTTGTATGTGTTAAGTACCATTCTGAGTAATATTTTTTCACTACTATGTCAACGTTTAACGAATCCTATAGATACATGCCATGCTGAAAAGTAAAAAGTAACGGAAAAA